ATATATATATATAGTAGCTTGTAATAGCGAAAAGCTTTTAACTTACGGCTATTACGTTGGTTATTATATAAAATAACTACAGAAAATATTTTCGTATATCTTACATAAATATTCATGGAAATATGGAATTTTTTTTAAAAAAGGACTAAATACTTTTGACTTACGTTTTCTTAATATAACTGCAAAAAAATTAAGCAAACTTTTTTGAGTCCTTTTTAATTAATAATAAAAATCTCTTATTCAAATTTGAAAAAAGAAAATCATTAAGAATTGCGCAAGATATACGAACTTAAAGTTATCCGTTTATACAGCGCTTGCACGGAAAACATTTACAAAAATTTTTTGTGTAATTTTGTTTTGAGAAATATTTAGTAACTTATGAAAAAAGTCCGATTTGAATACCTTGAAAATGCAAAAAAAAAAAAAAATTGTGCAGCTGTTGTACTTTTTTCAAAATTTAAAGCTCAAAATGATAAGGGATTTTCCACAAATTATATTTAATGTGGTAATACAAAATATAATAATAAGCAAATGAAAATACCCTAAAATGAAGGTCGGGACAAAAATATGTGATGGTAATAGGAAATAAAACATAATTTAATACGGTGTGGTCCTATATAATGCTGCTGTCATAAATAAATCTACTTTAATCGTACAAAAGTAAATTTGTTGAAACCCCATTACCATTCAAAGCTTTCGTTCCTAATTAACAAAAACTATTCAGAAAATTGTTAGAAATTGTTTAAATTTTCAAAATATTCTAATTCTACTTTTTTTAGAAGTTACCAAGTACGATTCAAAACCAATTAATGAAAAATAATGTTTTCCGCTCAATATAAAAGATTACTTTAACTACTGACATCAATATCATAATTAATCTATGAGATAACGCCATCTGGACGTAGTTTTATGCATTAAAGGATTTCAGAGTGCTTCGAATTTCAATGTCATATTTAATGTCTGTGATAACGCCATCCAAATATATTTTACGTGTTAGAGAATTTCAGAGTGCTTCCAATTTCAACGTCATATTTAATCAATGAGGCAACGCCATTCGAATGTATTTTTATGAAAGAATTTCAGAGTGTTTCTAATTTCAATGTCATATTTAATGGCTGTGATAACGCCATCCAAATGTACTTTTATGTACTAAAGAATTTCAGAGTGTTTCAAATTTCAATGTAATATTTAATCGCTCAGATAACGTGATCCGGATGCATTTTAATGTATTAAAAAAATGTATTATTTTGGATTTTAATGGCCATTTCATTTTCTTCAAATTGTATAAAATACTCTATATTTTTACAAAACAAAAAACTTTTTTTTTCAATGGACGAGAACGAACAAGTAAACAACTTACTCCTAAGAAATGAAATATTGGGTGCAACTTATAAGAATCGAATTTATACAATCTTATTTAATTTTTCATGTATTTATGTTCAATTTAAAGTTTTTCTTAAAATGTGTTGCAAGATTTTCATATAAAAATAAAGGCGTGAAAAAGTTGGATTGTTTATTTGACGTTATTATTGTTATTAAAATCAATAACATAAAATTCTAAAAATTGTGCACATTTACTCTAAATTTGAGCATCCATTCGTGATGTCTCAGGGGATGGAGAGTTCACATTCCAATGAGGTGAACCGGGTTCGAATTCCAGCGATGGCTGGTAGATAGGAATTCCGCATACGGCTTGCACCACAGTGCTGACGTAAAATATCCTCAGTAGTGGACGAATTATGGGTTAGAGTCCCCTTGCAGTCAGGCTAACTGTGGGAGATTTTAGTGGTTTTCCTCGCCATGTAACGCAAATACGGGTGAGTTCCATCAAAAAGTCCTCCACGAAAGCAAATTTCTCCCAATACTTCATCCAGGAGTTCCTCTGTCTACTGAATTGAGTTCAAAATTACAAGGTTACTGAGTTGAACATTAGTAGTCGTAAACCCCAATTTGGGACTGCTGTTTAACGACGGTTACAAGATAACAACAAAATATACTCGAGCATCAGAATTTGAATGCTACTTTAACTATTGTATTATAATAAATTTGTGATTTTTACTTTAGTTTTTGTCTCATAAAAAAGTTTTCATTCTCATATACTGTGTAATTTTTGTAAACGCTTGTAATATTTTTAAATTTATTTTTTAACTATTTTTATTTTAGGTGTACGACGATGGAGTTTACGTTATCCTCAATGCAGAGGCCGCAATCAGTCTCCAATTAATATACTAACTAGTAAAGTTAAAAAAGATTTGTACCTTCCGAAACTACAGCTTTACAATTACGACAGACCGGTGACGCAATCAACAATAAGAAATTCTGGTTACACAGGTAATATACTCAAAACCATCTACTAATTATGATATATATATATATATATATATATATATCATAATTAGTAGATGGTTTTGAGTATATTACCTGTGTAACCAGAATTTCTTATTGTTGATTGCGTCACCGGTCTGTCGTAATTGTAAAGCTGTAGTTTCGGAAGGTACAAATCTTTTTTAACTTTACTAGTTAGTATATTAATTGGAGACTGATTGCGGCCTCTGCATTGGGGATAACGTAAACCCCATCGTCGTACACCTAAAATAAAAATGGTAAAAAAATAAATTTAAAAATATTACTAGCGTTTACAAAAATTACACAGTATATAAGAATAAAAACTTTTTTATGATATTTAAAGACAAAAACTAAAGTAAAAATCACAAATTTATTAATTGTTAAAGTAGCATTCAAATTCTGATGCTCGAGTATATTTTGTTTTTATCTTGTAACAGTCGTTAAACAGCCAACCCAATTTTGGGTTTACGACTACTAATGTTCAGCTCCATAGCCTTGCAATTTTGAACGCAATTCAGAAGACAAGGGAACTCCTAGTTGAAGTATTGGGAGAAATTTGCCTTCGTGGAGGACTTAGTGATGAAACTCACCCGAAATTACGCTACATGGCGAGGAAAACCACGAAAACCGCCCACTTTTATCTTGACAGCAAGAGGACTCTAACCCATGATCCGTCTACTACTGAGGATATTTTTCGTCAATACTGTGGTCGGTGCAAGACGGATGCGGAATTCGTATTGACCAGCTATCGCTAGGATTCAAACCCGGTTCACCTCGTAGGAAGGCGAACTCTTTATCCCCTGAGCCATCAAATTTAGAGTAATTGTGCACAATATTTACAATTTTATGTTATTGATTTTAATGACAATAACGTCATGACCAACTAAATCCAACTTTTTTACGTCTTTAATTTTACAAGAAAATCTTGCAACACATTTTAAGAAAAACTTTTACATGAGCATAAATACTTGGAAAATTAACTAAGACTGTATAAACTCGATTCTTATAAGATGCACAAAATATTTCATTTCTTCGGAGTAAGCTGTTTACTTGTTCGTTCGCTTCCATTGAAAAAAAAAAATTTTTTATTTTGTAAAAATATAGAATATTTTATATAATTTGAATATGCTACATAAAAATTTGAAAAAAAAAATGGTAATTGAAATTCTAAACGCTCTGAAATTTTTTAATACATTAAAATGCATCCGGATCACCTTATCTGGGCGATGAAATATTATATTAAAATTTTAAACACTCATTAGTACACAAACGTACATTAGAATGGCATTATTACAGTCATTAAATAATAACATTGAAATTCGAAACACTCTGAAATTCCTTCATAAAANTAAAAATTGATAATTTTATTTTTATTCTTTTGTTAGCTTGCATTCTGAAGGACACTTTCCCTGAATTTTTTTTCTTCGTAAGCTGTAAAACAAACATAAAATATACTGGGGACATGAAAATGACTGTTTTTGTGAGAATGACCCATATATATCGTATTGTATAAAATGAGAGCGAATACATCATCGATTTACTCAATTAATTCGGATTTCTTTTAACATTTAGAATATTTTACGTGTTTATGATTTCAGTATAATCAATATTGATTGTTTGAAATGCAGAGATTAGTCAGATTCTTGGTTATATAAAGAGTGATAAAATAAGATATATTCAAAAGGATAGGGTATACTTTGTGCTACGTAGACTAAAGTGAAAAATAACGAAAAAGATAACTAAGTACAGAAAAAGACATACTATAGTTTCAGTACGCTAAACAAGAACATTCCTCAGTTCCTAAAGAAAATGACAATCGAAAAGTAAACTGGTAAACACGTACAAAGTGGTTTAACCAATCTGGAGTAAGGGACAAGTTTGAATAAGATGGAGGGGAGTGAAAAGAAACAGGTATGAGGGGGGTTGGCGGAACCTCAAAGGGCGAATGATTAAATTAAAATAGATCTCCAAATCTTGGGTAAGGGTAAGATGCTAGGAAGATCATTAAACAAACTATCAGAAATTTTCAAAATATGGAGTGATTCCCTGAAATCGAGTTCGGTTGTTGAAGACTAGTGCGCTTTCTTCTGCTAAAATCAGCAACACTGCTCTTCTTTATACCGATCTTGGTTTCTGGGAATCATTTCATATTTTAAAAAATTCAATTAACTTAGTTAATAATCTTTCTAGTATCACACCCTTTCCCAAGGTTTGGGGATCTATTATAATTTAATCATTTACCTCCGAGGTTCCCGCCAAACCCTTCATACCTGTTTCGTATCACTCTTCTTTTAATTATTTTGTTCAAATTTGTTCTTTTGTCCGGATTGATTAAAGTGCTTTTGCATATGTTTGTTTCTTTACTTTTCTAATGTCATTTTCTAATTTGAATCTGAGAAAGGTTCTTGTTTAGAGAGCTGAAACTATAGTATATCCATATCTCTTTGTTTGTTCTTTATTCACGTTGTATTTCACTTTAGACTATATATATAGCTATATTTTCTTTTTTAAATTTTAATGTTAGTTAATGGAAGAACAAGGGATATCACCACTCATTAATTTATACTATGTAGAAAATTTTTTTGTGTGTGTGCCCTGTTACTTATCCTGTTATTTTGCTAAAAAAGTATCTCAAGTAATACTACTTTTATTTCTATTTCTAAATTAAACGTCATAAATTTAACTATGCTTCTTCTATTTTCTAACTTCCCAATGAAAATTTTGGATTTTTATCTTCTCAGAAAAGGATTATAAACTAAGGATGGAAATGATTAATAAACCTTGACCCAACTATCATCTGGATGTGACATTGCTTTCCGCTCTTCCGCATTCTAATTCCGTAAAAAAGCAACGATGAAAAAAAAGGCAGATCTCGACATCCGTTGTTTTTCCGTCCTAGTCAGGAACTTGACAAAGCCTGTCTGTCACCCGAATTTCGATAGACGTAACCTGACATGCTTATAAATCGCGATTTTACTAGGATCAGTATTCCTATTATATTTGGAAATGATTTGCATTCGATAAAAATAAGAGACCACTACACATCTAAAATTGAAAATATTATATTAAATGCAACTTTATTGCAATTTTCTATTGGTGTCACTTGTTAGAAATAGGCAGATTATCCTTCTCCTACAAGTTTTACAATCTAATTCCTTACCAACTTATTAAAACTCATGCAGAAAGCGGAGCAGTTGTTTTCCACCTGTAATATATAAGCAGAGCTGCCTACTTTCTAAACGTTTTGGGTAAAGTTTTGAAAGTTTTTTCAGGGGTAGCTATGTTAATATTTTAATGTATGATTCTTTGTTTTGTGATTTCGAAATAAAGTTATTTTTCACAACGCTACATGTAAATAATTCGAAAAATATGAAACGTCACTTTGCTGAGTGATAGTTATTTTATAAACCATTCCTTCATCTGTATTGGGCTTAACCCTTTCGGGCCGACTGTCACAAATACGTGACAGCATAAAACCGTATCAATCAGGTTAAAAATTTAAAACTGGTAATCAAAGTATTTCTTTAGCAGTTTATTTGTGGGCGGAGTAATAATTGTTTGATTTATTTAATTCACCAATCCTTTGTTCAAAATAAAACTATTTAGTTATACTTTGAATTAACATTGATTATATATATGTTTAAACTAACAATAATTAAATTAAAAGCAAAGTAAGTCTGTCAAATTAGCAACGACTACATTTAAGTTACCGTTTTTTATTTAATTACAACTTGATTCTGATTTTGTACGAATGCTTTTCTGAATCACCCGTCCCCAAAGGGTTAACAGAGATGCCAACTGCTCCGAAAATGCCAAAGTAATGAAAAAAAAAAGGTTTTACTCACTACTAAATTATTCAAAGGCTTTTCTAAGACTTTCGTTACAGTTAAGCCGTGCTCGGGCTTTTAAAAAATTTACAAAATTAATCGAAAATCTGCAAATTTCAGATTGTAGTTCACTAACGCTTTTTAAAATATTTTGTCGAATCCGGAGCAGTTGACACCTTTGGCTTTGTTACAGCTCTGTAGAAGTAAGGCTTTTAACATTTTAGCAAAACTACCGAAAATTCTGAAAAGCTTACGTTTTTACTTGTGGACCACTTTATTAAATATTTTGATAAAAGATTTATTGGGCAGCCCTGTATACCTATGCACACCTGCCAACTTTTACGCATTTGGCGTAAAATAATATTTTTATATTTAAAGTAGTAGCAAATATATAGTATTTTTTATTTTATAAACTTAAATTTGAACTGATTTCGATCACCAGTATTCTTAAAAAAATTTAGCATGTATATTAATATGCATTACTTTTTTTGGTTGTCAACTGAAGATTTTTCAAATACAACATATTATTTTGCTTACAAGTGAAAATTTAANAGACAATAAATATATACGATACTCAAAGAGTTCAAAAGTGGGCAATTTAAAAAAAAAAAGAGTTTTTGATTTAGTGCTTTTACTTGTTCTTTCAATTTTACTTCCTATTGTATTAATCCCGACTTTTTTTGAGGTTTTAAATGAAGAATTCCAGTATAAATAACAGATTTTCGAAAGTAATGTTATCCAATGGAAAACTTGTTGTCCAATGGGAAGAAAATATTTGTTCCAGTGGAAAAATAATACGTAACTCGAATTGCGGAACAATAAATCCAAGCGGTTCGAAACTTTTGCAAATATCTTAAAATGTTGCATAATGTCAATATTATAATATTTGTTTTTCTTTCAAACTTGTTGAAGAGTGTCAGGTCAAAGCAATTGCAGTACGTGTACTAACATGCTTTTATTTTCAATTATATAAATATCTTTTTTAATTAAAAATCTACTATGTACCAACGATAGTGATACTTCTACTAATCTTTGATTAATATTTATTATGTTTTTATAGTGACAATCCTTCCAACAGATGGCATACGACGTGGCATTCGGGTCAATGGAGACGTATATACTTTAAACGATATTCATTTTCACTGGGGAGATAGAAAAGACAAAGGTTCAGAACACAAAGTCAATTATAAGCAGTATTCAATGGAGGTAATTGATGGACATATTTGCAATAAATTAAAAAAAGAGTGAAATGATTTATCTGGCTTAGTGTGTCGCACAAAATGAAATAGAAAACGAGCAAAATACTAAATTCTTACATCAATGGGATATTAAGTTGATAAATATTCATACATAAACAAATAATCTACATATGCATTGATCCCAAAAAGAGTGAAAAAGAAGATGCCGTTTTATACTGTTTTCCAGTTAAATAAATTACTGCTTGCCCTCATTCAGTAGAAAAATTTAATGGGTGAATCTACAGCATTATCTTTCCTAATTCCAAATTTTGTAAGTTAGAAATAATTCCAAATTTTTCCGCCAACTGAACCATCACCGCCTACATCAGAAAGCTTCTACACGGTTTTTTATAAGTAGTCTGCGCAGACTATTTAAAAAGTAAACCAGTTGTGCGTATCAGATTCTATTTTAAATATGTTTGAGAATCGAATCTGTAGTGGTTGACAAGTAAACTAGACAAACCAATTATATTAATAATTTAAAATAAATTTTTTAGACTTATAATTTTCTTCCACATTCTTATTTTTTGTCAGATTTTGTATTAAATGGCACTTTTGTAAACAGGTTTACTTTCATAGTGGTCTGATCGGACTATCTATAAGAAACCGTATGGAGGCTTTCCGATATAGGAGGCGTTACCGGAACACAGCCAGACAGAAAATATTATGACAAACTTTCAACTTAATCAAGTATAAATGTAACAAAGTTTATAAATATAAGGTCCTAAAAAAGTTTACTTGAAAAATAAATATAAATTGCATTTTATGTAATGTTAGAGAAAACAAAATGAAGTAAGTCCTCATATAGTTAAGCCAGTAATGAAGTAACAGATGTTCTTTATTTTTTGTTCTTTGCGGTGTTGTATAAATTTAGCTTTTTAAGTTTTATTAAAAACAAAATTAAAAATGGTTTAAAACGGGTTCGCAAGTATTTTCTACCGTTTTTTTCTTCTTCAAATTGAAAGTCAGTATCTACAAATGTTGCGATAATGCGGAGAATATAATAGCAAAACTATTCTATTCAGTTTCGCGTTTTTCGGAAATAGATTTATTAAACTACGACTTCCAATAAAACACTTTCACTAACTGCTAGTGGTCTTATATGCCGAATTTCAGAATCAAATTTACGTTTATCATTTTTTAATCAACCAAAAAAGATTATAAAGAGATTAAATGTGTGCTTAAAATTATGAATATCTTCTAAAAAAATTATTAAAGTATAATAGTTATTTAATAATAATATTTTTTTTCTCTAACAGATACATTTTGTCCATTCAAATAGAAGGGGTAGATCTGCTGTGGTAGGTGTATTTTATGAGGTGGGTATTTTATTCAAATCATTTTATATGATATGACAAAAACTGTTTATTATATGTATTTATTATTACACTAGTAGAGGTACATATCAGTTATTCTACGTATGAGGTAAAAATCGTAAATTGTGATTGAATTGCTATCAGTTAAAGCAATAAAGCAATCATGCATTTAACTGGAAGGCATTGATCAAGGGATTTAAAAATTAAAACTAACTACGTTTTTTTATTATTAATTTTTCTCCTTCCTTGTACAATTTACGTTAATAAACTTAGAAAAACACGCATTAAAAATCGAAGTAAAATTTAGCTTAATACAATATCGTAACTGTCAACTTTCGCCCTTTCTGAAAATGGATTTTCCAAATGCTAGTAAAACAATTACTGAAAACAGTTTTACTCAAGAACATATTTATATTTGAACCAGATTGAAATTTGCAATCCTAGTCCTAGTGTTTTGATTTTATTGGGCACCTGGGCCGCAAAGCGGCCTTTATCCCATTCATCTGGAATTTTAGAACAGTTTTGGTTGAGCAATGAGGTAAGCAGGCAATGGAGTTGCTTTTATGAATGTTTCAAGCTCTTTGCTTATTACACAAATGTTATTACATTATGAA